TTTTAAAAACGGTAAAATGTTAATTGTGTGCTCAAATATATAATTTATTAAAACTAAATATGAAGGTCAATTAAATGATAAAACAAAAGGTAGAGTTCTCTTTTTGAATTTAATTGGTGCATCCGAGGTGATCCAGCCTTAGAGAAGTCATCCAGATGAAAAGATCCAGAAAGAGTGAAAAAGAAGGGAAGTCGGGGGGGAGAGAAGAGGATGATGATGATGATGATGATGATGGAAGGGGAAGCCACTTGTTGCCAAAGAGCTTTGAATCGCTGCAGAGAAAAGCTTCTTTTTCTGGTGCCCAGAATCAGCCGAGAACGTCTGACGTCACGTGAGCTAAAGCCTCCATCTGAAGAGCGTCTGAATGAGCTGGAGATGCAGCTGCCTTCATCTTCACACAACTCTTCTTCTGCACTTCTGAAAGCACTCATCACCGCCGCCGTTTCCCTCGCTTCTCTCCTCTCCTCTCTGATGAGGGATTTCTTACACCGGAGGCTTGATTGCTCTGATAACTGAGTTACAGAAAGCTGAGAATAATAGTAATAAAAAAGAAGCTCCTGCGTTGATAAAAGCTGTAGCAGACCATCTTTTCAAAAGCAGAAGGTCGTGTCCCTCACACATTAGCTGTCTGTCCTCCATTTCTCTCATTTTGTCAAAGCAACAAAAGCCTCTGATGTGTTCAGTGGTGTCCTTCTAAATCCTGACCAAAGAAAATAAATATATTTGTCTGTGTCATCATATTTCAGATTTACCTCTCGATGCACCATAAACGGCTGGCTGAACACGTCTTCCTCCCTCTCTGCTCTGTGATTTATTATTGATCTGAATGTCGGCTGTTTTCAGCTCTGATGGGTTTAAATCCCACCTCAGATGATTCACGGCTCTCAGTTTGTGGGCAAATAAAATTAATGTGAGCCGTGAATAAATACATGTACACATATATGTGTACATTATATATAAATACACATACATGTATGTGTGTACATTATATATAAATACATTTACATGTATGTGTGTACATTATACATACATACATATACATTTGTGTGTGTACATTATATATAAATACATATACATGTATGTGTGTACATTATATATAAATACATTTACATGTATGTGTACATTATATATAAATACATTTACATGTATGTGTACATTATATATAAATACATTTACATGTATGTGTATACATTATATATAAATACATATACATGTATGTGTGTACATTATATATAAA